TTTTTTGTATTTGGTGTTTGCTTGACTGAGGTGGAAATTGAACATATGCTACCTTGGTTTGCTGTTCCAACACTCTATGTACAAACTGATGGAGAATAAATAGGCGACTTCTGCTATTAAACCTAAAACAAATATTGACATATATTGTGCACATGATATTAATTATGGGAAGTTGTACACTTGCATGTACAAGCAGATATTTGTTTCCAGTTACAAGATCGCTGATGTTGCCTATTTCCATTATCTATGATATATGTTTAGCTTGTTGTATGTGCCTCTGTTCCATCGTCAGTTAAAAATGGTTGTGTGAAAATAACACTTTTCACTGCCACTGTGAAGATTCTGAACATTACCAGTCTTTATCACAATACTGGGGTTTTCTGGAGTACCAGCAGGAACTTCACTGATCATTCCAGTAATTATCAGATGGTAAATCAGTGCTTGTAAATCCCTTCTTCCTGTTTTGGTTTTAAAATAATCTTTAACCAAACCAAATTCAGCAGCTTTATCTAAAGCAAGAGCTTTTAACACAATGGTCGGTGATCCCATTAGGAATTGTGTGAGAAGAAGAACAGTTACTTTTTCTTGAACCTGCTGCAGTCTTGCAAGACTTTGGATCACGAGCAGTGCGATGGATGTGCAATCTTGAATTGTATCAACATTTGAAGTACAAATGTCACAGTGTTCCTCACATTCTTGCATGTCTTCATTAAAATAGGACATAATAAACTTGTGGCGACAGGTACGATTTGTGCAGTACATAGCCATTTTGTTCATTAATTCATACTTATAGGACAAAATCTCTTTGTCCTCAATCTGCATGATGTTGTGTAGATGGAATGACCGATCCTTGTGATCAAAAAATAGTCCACAAATTGCAGCATGTCCATCTCTTCCAGCTCTCCCTATCTCTTGTACATAGTCTTCCATGCTTTCAGGAAATGACAAATGCAATACAAAACGAACATCTTTCTGATCGATGCCCATACCAAATGACTTGGTAGCACATATTACATGGGCAGTGCCGCTGGCCCATGCATGCTCATATTTTTTTCTGTCTACATCTGACAAACCACCATGAACAAAAACAGCATCAATGTTATCCGATTTCAATTTATGTGCCAGATCAACTGTATCCTTTCTACGAGCACAATACACAGTGCCTCTCTTCCCCGGACAATTAGTTTTGATGAAATCAATAACTTGTTTTAATGGTTTGTTATCCTTGGCTTGTATTTGTATGAACAAATTAGTTCTTGCACATTTAACTTTAATCACATTTGGCGTGGTCATAGCAAGTGTGGACACAATTGAGGACATTACTTTATCTGTAGCTGTGAGTACTAATAGGCCATAGGGGTAAGCCGAGCTGGAACATGCTGTCATGATCATAATATTTAAGACAAAGGATTTGTGTATGGCTGAGGTACAGTTCAACATCAAACAATGGTCTTCTATTTTTTTTTGGATTTATGGCCATAATATCTTGACATACTATGTGCAGGGAGATATGAAAATCATGAGAATTATTACTTGCATTTCCTTTTAAAAAGTTTTGGTCGCTTGCCATGAATTTTTACACTTCTCATTCTTTGAAACAACGTAGATTTGCAATGTACCTTATATATAGGCCAGTTAAGTTGTTTTTTTAAATGAAGGTTAATCTTGATCAAAATTATATGCAAAGCTACTATGTAATTTTCACGATTTAAAATAAACTGACAGCACTGGTTGCAGCATAAATTGCGAGTATATACTATTTAATTATGCCTTTTTAGGTTACAGTTTGTTTGCTTTTTCTATCTGCTTTTGGTGAAAGATTAAACAAAGTCTGGGAACATATAATTAAAAATTAAACAAGACTTACCTTAAGTTGAAGTTTGATTACAATTCTACCGAATTACTTACAGTACAGAGAATGATATTTTGGGACCGGTTTCATTTCATTGAACACTCCTTTGAGATAACGACAAATTAGAAAATGTTTGCCGATTGGCACATGATGTGAATCCATGTCAGAGGTGAAGCATAGGTTTGAAATAGCAGAATGCGCCGTATTAAGTGAGGAATAACTCATACCTTTTTTGTACAACGAATGCAAAAACATCAATACACACTTTATAGTGGGATGCAAGGGATCATACGACCCCTGAACACAAAACTGCAACCATTGGTTGATATAGTTACCATACTGTTTGAGTACTGTCTCTCCAGGAATGCATGATTGTGGTGATAATGTCTGTTGGAAGATCTGACTCGCACAAGGATCTCCGGATAACTTGCATACCATAAACTTCAGTTGATCCTGAAGTGGATGAGGACTGTCTAACGTGGGATGAACCAGGTTCTGGTGAGTTACTTTGAGAATCCATGGAACATCGACTAACAGACTGAGTACTACCGTAAAGAATGGTTGGGTAGTCCATAGCGGAAGTACAAGAATTCCGGTTGCCTTGTCCTGTATGATCTTCTGCACACATCTAGATACAAGACAAAATGGGGGGAATGCATAAAAATAAAACCATGACCATGTGATCGAAAAGGCGTCTATGAATTTAGCCTTTGGATCTGGTTTCCAAGAAACATAATCTTGAGTTGAGCATTCAGCCTACTAGCAAAAAGATCTATGTCTGGTTGACCAAATAATGAGACAATTCTTTGGAAAGTATGTAAAGTTAACATCCATTCCAAATTTAAATTGAAATTTCGGCACAATTGGTCAGCATCAACATTGGCAGATCCGGCAATATGCACAGCTGACAACCAAATTCCCTTGGCAAAGGCCCAACTCCAAATTGTTTGAGCAATAGTATTACACTCGACAAATCTACATCCACCCATTTCATTAATGTATGTGGCAGCAGTTGTGTTATCACACATAATCCACACATGTATGCTACTTCTATCACGCAACAAAGAAAAAAGGGCTAATTGAATGGCCAATAATTCCAAACAATTTATATGTTTTTCAGTTTCATCATGTGACCAAATGCCACATGTTGTACCCCCATTCTCAAGCTTGGCTCCCCATCCTGTTCCAGATGCATCAGTGTAAATTGTGATATCTGGAGTGGTATGAGAGATTTTTCTAGTGGATAACTGAATGTTATTTACCCACCA